GAAGATGGAGGAGGGGGGGAAGATAGAAAAGGGGAGGGTGAGAGAGCGTGGAGGTGGGTTTGGGGGGCTCCTGAGGAGCTGCGGTGGTGAGCAGAGGGATGAGGGAGCTGCACGGTCCTGGGGGAAGCGGAGAAACCGGGGAGGGGGACGTGGGGTCTGCCCAAACCCTCGGGGCTGGGGGGGCAGCGCAGGGGGGCAAGCCCTGGCGTGGAAGGGAGCCCTGGAATTCGAGGCGAGGCAGGAGGGGCGCGGGCGGGGAGGCCGAGGGAAGGGTAGGGATACGGCTCTGCCTTCCTCCCAAACGCTCCCCAGCCTAAAAATAGGCAAAATTGTGGGTTACGGGGTGTTGCGGTCTGGGCACCGCGCCGAGCCGCCTGTCAGGGAGCCTTACGGAAATCTCTTGTTCCCGTGCAGCGTCTCTCACCGGAGGATCCCGGCATGCTTAGCTGAGGCAGAAAAGAGTTTCCCCTTCTTCGCAGGTAGGAAACGGAGACAAAATCGCGTGCCCGGAGAGGCTCTTTCTCCCTGGGGCTCCCGTCGCCGCGCGTCGCTCTTCAGAAGTCCTTCTTCCGCGCATGTGCTTTGCGATGCAGTGTTGGAGAAGGGTCTCTCCGTGCCGGGGTGTGTCTGATGCTCTTCCCCAAGTGCTGGCGGGAGGAGAATCAGGAGAAGTCCCATCGCCGTCGCTATTAGGTGCTCGTAGAAAAGCCGTCGGAGCCCTCCTGGGCTCTCTGGGGTGTGGAAATCGGAATGGCCCCCTCCCCACGCGCTCGCTGACATGTCGGGGTCCAGCTGGGCGGCAGCGGGTTGCAGGAAGCAGAGAAAAACATCCCACAATTGTTTTTTTCTGGTGTCTTTTATCTTGCATTCGCTGTTCTGTGTGTTTTTATACGTCCGTCAGTGTTTGCAGGGCGCTTCTCTCCCCGGTAGCCAGGAGAGTTAACGGTCGGTTGAGCCGCAGAGCCCCGGGGTAAATATTTTCAGCATTTCATGCAACTTTAGGCTGGGCATGTGGGGACAGCCAGGCACCGTCGCGCAGGGTCCAGCATCCTTCGGGGCTGCCGTAAATCCTCTGTCTCACACCAAACCCCTCAAAAACGGGGTTTTGCCCCAGTTTTGGCACATCGGGAGCGGAGCAACAATAAAAACGGCTGTCTCCAGAGTCCTCTGTGGTGTTCCCGTGGCCGTAAACGTGGGGCAGCAGCGCTGCACCAGCCAAAACTCTGCCGGAGCTGGTGCTGGAGTCACCAGCATTGACACGTGCTCAATGCAGGTATAGTTTTTGGGCTGTGAAATTGTTAATTTGCGTTAACTCCTTTCCCTGTGCCAATGAGTTCACTCGACTGAAGGTATCTGCAGCTGGAGGTGATTGCCCTGTGCTTCGTTTTCTGCGTGTTCCCACCGCCGGTGGTGCTTTGTTTGTGGAAGGGAAATGAGAACTAAACGAGAAAAGTTTTCAGTCGTGTTTTCCCTGTAATTTACTGGCTTTTGCAACAATTAACCGGGTGGGCTGCAGGGCCGCGGAGGGACTCTGGCAACGCCCTGCGTGGTAGGCTCATAAATAAGTGCAAATTGGAGTTATTGAGAACACCCAGCTGTGGAGCGCGGCGGTGGGGAGGATGCAACTGACCTTAGGAGAGCTGTGGAAACAAGCACACACACACACTAAAAAAAAAAAAGAAGGTTTTAAATAAAGCCCCAAAGTTTGAACAGTGGCCAAAGAATTAGCTGCTGGCTGCCAGTACAAACATTAACTAATCCTGGCAGCCTTTTAAGGCGAGTGTCTTTAGTTCGGGTTAAGAAAGAAACCTGTTAGATGTATGGATTGTCCCCAGCGCGGGTTGAGGGAGGTTTTTCGGGGAACTGTGGATAAATGCCACGTAGGAACAGGACTGCGGAAGGTGGTACCCGGCGGGGGCGTGACGCGAGGCTGTGTGAGTCTGCGGCCGGTGTCGCACGGAGTCGCCTTCCAACCTTCAGAATGATCCCTCGGGAACCTCCCGGCTCTGCCGAGGAGTTACCACCCCGCGATTCCCAAATAAAGGTAATTAATCGGAACGTATTTGGGTGTTGAAAAAGCAGCAGAAGTTTCCAGGGAAGATGCCGATGGGATAACGACGGCTCGGGTTGCCTTTCCCCTCCGCCGAGTGGAAACTGCTCTGCTCCCCCTCCCGTGTGGAGTTCCCAGATGTTTTCCAGATACCGGTTATCTTTATTTGCATTTGCGGAGGTGACATTTATTTTACCAGCGCTTATCAAATCTGCCAGAAGGAAGCTGTCTCTCTAAAAATAAAAAATCACAAGGTTTTGCTCCGAACCGTTCGACGCGCTTCTTGCCACGTTGGTGACTCGTTTATCGACGCGTGGGCTCCGCGAGCGGTGGGTTTACCCGTTTAGAAGGTGGAGATCTCGTTGCCGACGGCTGGCTAATTGCTGCCCACCTCGCTGGGGATGAGCAGAGCGGATCAGCGCAGCCTGAAGCCTGGGTGCCGCAAGCTCGGGAGCTGTCGGAGGAGAAGGCAGGGCCGGAGGAGATCGGCGCTGGAAGGGACGTGGTTTGGGATGGGGCAGCTCCGCAGCACGTTTGTGGGACATCCCTGCGATGCGCTTTTTGCCTTGCCGGCCGGGATCCTCCACGCTCGACTCTTCCG